AACTGAAAAATAATAAGCAAATACTAATATTATTAATACTCAAGAACTTGTAGAGCACAGGCTTTGCATGTTACTTTCTACTTCTGGTTTTATTTTTAGATGTGTCTTTCCTGAACAATCCTGGAGTAATTGAAAAAAATTAATTATATAACTCTGAGATATTTCTTATAAGAGAAGAAAATATTATATATCAAAGCAGAGCACTGCAAAGCAAGAAAAGAAAGAGTTCTCAAAGACAAAACAGTGTAACTAAAAATTAACAATTTTTAAAGTAATTCTAAAGTCTCTTCTATGACTTAAACAGAAAATACATACCTTGAGCAGGATTTCTGCACCACTCACATTACTGATTTAGCCCCTACATTCCAAGAAGGTCAGGAAATTATGAAGTGTTTAATATAAAAATGGCAGGTGTATACAAAAACTTTCACAGAAATGAAGAATACTATAATTTCTTTCTCAGGCACTTAAACAATGCATTTGTAGCCCATACTCCCAAAACCTGAAAGCCATTACTATTTCTGACAAAGTCCTTGATAGAGTACCATAACAAATGTTCCAATTCTACTTTTCATCTGGAAATACCCATTTGAATTCAAAGTCCCCAAGTCACAGGGACACATGGCAATAATACAGAATTTGGGGCCTCTGTTTTTAAAAACTTTGGCTGCTTTTGGCTAATTTTACCTCATTTTTATATATCTAAGAAATGTAACTTAAATAAATGTAGGAAGGTTGTTTGAACTTAGAAAGCAGTTTCCATTTTTAAAAAGTTACAATATATAGTAAGATAAAACTAGTCTGTACCTACTATAAGTTGTAACATTTTTAAAATAGGAAAAAATTATTTATAATAAAAATATTAGAGAAATACCCCTAAACAATAAAAGTGAACCTTTCTCAATGATGTTTCAATCTCTCCTAAATGTTAACATGCAGAAATTGCTAGTTCTTCAAAATCCACCTTCCCCTTTTTACACAGTAATGGAAGTTTCCTGTCATAGGATGCAGCTGAACATCACATTCCAGATTCCCTTGCAGCAAGGTAAAGCCAAGCGACTTAATTCTGGACAATGGGATGTGTGCAAAAGTAATGCATAACTCAGTCTTGTTGCCTGAATGGTAAAATTAACAGTGGAGCTAGAACAGCCATCATGGACTATGAGATTAAAAACTACATTAAAAATGGCAAAGCAACATGATTAAAGACGTCTGACTATTTTTAGAAATACAAAACTACAATAGGTTAGATGACCCAGAAAGAATCCAAGAAATCACTTTAAACCTTTATAAATGAGAAAACAGAGGTATGAGCAAGAAAATAGAGGATGAGTCCAAGGTTACTCTTATCAAAAATATTCAGGTCTTCTTGTGACTCATAAATAACTTTGACTAAAGAAGAAACAGAGTAAATTATGAAAGCAAAAAAAGGAAGAGGAAGACATGAACAATTACGACTTGCTGTCTGCGTAACAAAGTATATGCTACAAAATCAGTAAGAACTGTGAAAGGCAGAGGGAAAACAGTACATGAATAATCTCTTGAGTGGGGTGCTAGTACTTAGAGTGAAGAGATTATGAATTCTAAGTGCTGGTACTGGAGTACATTTTCATCCACAACAATCTACTGCCAACTAATGAGCATTGGTGATGTGGCAGGAAGGGTCCCAGTGGTTTATATTATACAGAGAAAAAGAGTCTCTAGCTCAGTGTTTACTACAATGGGCATTAAGCTAAAATAAAAACATCTGCGTTTTCTATGAAGACAAGCCAATTAGAGCATAAATGAAATTTTGAGATACATGGGCTCAAAAGCAATCTCATGAAAATTATGGACTCAATCCCACAAAAATTATGGGCCAAATCCATCAAAAAAATGCATACACCCATCAATAAACACATTATATTTTTAAACATTTCATTGCTTTGGAAATTGATAACTCTTTTACTCTGATAAAACTCAAGATAATATTTCCCACCAAAATCAGATATTTTTTAATACAGCAATATGCAGTAATTTCCTTTTTAAAAAAGAGGGGAAAAGATTTGATACAAATGTAAATTTCAATTGAGTCTTGCATGACTTGAATATTCAAAAGGTTCAAATTATGCAGTGATCTCCAACACAAAAGTAGACTCATAAAATTTCCAGCAGCAAATGCATTTAGAACTCATAGAATATACTTTGTCATGGGAGAGTAACCAAGTGTCAACACAACATAATTCACTACAACTTTGTGAATTAAATTTACATTCGTTCTTTTCTATTCTTCAAGTATAGGAGCTGGCAACATTTACTGCAACAATCAGATGTCTGTGTCATCAAGCAAAGGATTACAAACTCTTTAAAAAAATTTAGGTCATCTGAAGTACAATAATCCTTAGAAAGTATTCTGCCATGTTCCCAGTTGTCTGAATTTACAAGATATTGTCTCTCTGAAATTCAATTTACAGAAGCACATCCTGAAGCACTGGATGCTTCCCACAGTAGTTTGGCCAAATGAAATTGTGATTTCCATCTGCATCCATAAGGCTAACGGCAACACCTCAAACTTACAAATTTTACCTCACTGAAATATCAAAAAATCTCTCTCAAGTAAAACACGTTCTGAATAAACTCCTTGTCCAACTGTTTGGAAAATAGCCTTCCTTTTTCTCATAAGCAAATAAATAAATGAATAAGTAAGGAGGCAGCTATCTAAATTGCAATTGTAGTACTTTAGGACATAAACTTTAGGGAACCAACACACTTGTGCATTGCTGGAAATCTTCTGTTTCCATTTCTTGAGAAAACCTGCTGAAAAGATAGTGGTTCAAGGCTTTAGCTCTGATAAAGTTGAATAATTTCAGGGTGGTAAGCAAGACATCTTTCAGGATTATTGTCATAGTTTTTGATGCTGATACATGTCAAGCCAATTGTAAAAGACATAACTCATGAGGACTTGAAGACTTAAAGTTCTTTCTTCACAAAAGCAGCAAAATCAGATGGATTGCCAAGCACAGTAAATATTCCATCCATACCCATGTACCAAACCTCCCTGTCCTCCAATGTCAAAGAAAACAAAAGCCTTTCAGATTGCTAAAAGGTACCTCACAAACTTGGGATTTGTTATGCATCAGCACACACAAAACAGATGAAAACCAGAAACTGACTGCAAGAGATGATGTTAGTCGTTACATGCAGATGCTTGATGAATGGGAAATGGCATTACTCCCAAATGACAATGTTCAGCTTCAAAATATTATAAGAAAAGGTCATCTGTTCTGTAGTATATAACATCATCTGACTGTACCTGGACCATAGGAAAGAACACTGTGCAATAAATAACAAAATTTCACACATCTCCTTGAGGCTCTTGGTAAGTCCCAATACTTCAGAGGTGTTAGAGGTCTGTGTATAAGGTAGTCACACATAACTGCTAACTTGACTTCCTCTAACCTTTCACTTGCTGGTTTGGAGATCCTTTGGCTTAGGCCTGCACTTTCTGCCTGGAGATGACATTTTCAAATCATTCTTTCACTGCCTCTCTTTCCCTTAATGTGCCAAGCCTGAAACAAGATTTGATTTCCTGAGTTACTTGTCTGCTCTGTATGTGCCACCAAGGAATCTAGTTCATATCTAGTTCATCTCTCATCTCATTCATGTTCTTTTGAAACAAGATACTTTGGGGGTCAAGTCTTTCCAGGTGTTTTTATATATAGATATAAAATGGATTTTGTGCTTCTTTTTCATGTAATTAACAATTCACAATCATAATGTAAAGAAGAAATAAAAGCCTAATGTAAAGAATTATACTTCAAGATGCTTCCCTGATGTACACTCTCCTTGTAAAATACATAATTGCATTCTATACCAGTCTTTCTATCAACATTAAAGTATTTTAGAATTAAATAAATAAATAAATAAATAACAAAATTTCAGTAGCCACTTCAAATCTTACCTAACATATTTTAAATTATCATTTTAAGGACCACAGTATATTGAACTTCACATAAATTAACAGCTATGTAGAAAAAGCATCTTCTAAGTAGAAATAATTACTAAAGCCAGTCTCTCTGTATTATTATCTGTAGGATGATAGGTATTTAAAGTAATAATTCCACCTGCTGCTTCAAATATTTCTGATTGGTGAAATCCCTTGAATCATTCTGTATTAAAGAGGCTATTTTAAAGAATTACTTAAACTCAGTTTATTTCAGAACAGTCAAAAACTGTCTCTAAACTTAATGTAGTAAAGATTTCCCTCCCTTCTATTATAGATCACATACCTGACAAACCACCAGCAAAAAAGCAAATAATTCAATCTTTCATTATCCCATAAATGGGTAAAATATGCAAACAGAATATTTTGATAAATAAACCACCTGCCTTGATCTAAACTGATGTAGGAACCAAGCAGAACAAGTAATAGATATCATTGTGTGTAAAGCATGAAAGCTTTGGAAAACTCCAGTTGAAAAGTGATTTCTTTCTATTTTAATATTTCTTAGTTTGAGCATACAAATAAAATACTTTAATTCCTAATTATACATCTTACTGCACTTAACTATATAATTTTCTAAATTTAAATGTTCTAATAAAGTAGAAAATAAGTCATAATTATTAAATACTCAAAGGTGAGTATTTTTCTTTCTTAAAATCAGTATTTCTTCAAATTTATTTCAATAAACCTTCTCTGAACCTTCTAAAACTTCTGACCCCACTTTTCAGAACTGCTCATTTATGTATTATGTGAAACAATATTCATGTATTATGTAAGTAATACTTATTTTTAAAGCACTAAAAACTAAATACATCTTCCAATAATTATTTTTCACAATTCATTAATTAAAGCATTTAATGACTATAACGTTGAAGCATTCTTCCAACTTGAAAAACAAGTACTTTTCAAACTTCTATTTATGAAATATTCTGGGAATAATATTCTAGTTATTTAAATAATTCCTCAATAAATGCTCTGACATTTTACCACTTACAACACTATGGAAAGTTTTACTTACTGAAATATCTTTCAGGTTTTTCTCAAAGAAGAAATGACAAGACTCTTTAGAAAAATTAAACTTGTATGCACCAGCTGGTCCTACTCCTGACACCAATCCTTTTCTTAGTTCATCAACATATTGTTCTTTTTCCATTGTCATGTCACTGGCTTCTCTGGAAATCTCTGATTCACCAACTATGGGAAACAGTAAAAAGTGTTGAAATGAAAAATGAACTCCTAAACATAAGAACAGATTTGTTTACCTGGTGCAACTAATTTACCATTATGTAACAGAAATTTAAACAAAAAGTAAAATCAATCCCACACCACATATTTTTAAGTCAAATTATAACTTTTAACTGAACTAGCAATTTTGAAAAATGCATTAACTTAGTCTCATATGAAAAGCAGTAGACTCCTTGTATTCTTTTCCTGTCCTCAGATGAAATACATGCATTGTAAATTACCACAGACACTACCACTTGGTATATACCTGCTCCTAGGTCATAGCCAGATAAATTATTTCCCATAAGTTCAGTATTTCACAACATCTTCCTTGCCTCAATTATTAAAGAGATTAGTCTATAGTCTACTTCTCACTCACATGGGCAGAGTCAAATTAAAGTAAAAATGGGGTTCATTCTTCTCATCTCATTATGTGGCAACAATTAAAAAAGCTGGATGAAGGGAGGCGAAAAAGAAGGAAAGGGAAGGGAATTAACATTTATTGAGTGTCTCTTCTATAGCATACATTATTCTACAGATATGGCTTCCAATTCTCTTAACTATGTATATTTAAAGCTGATGTTTTCTTCATCCATAGAGATTTTTCACTTCAATAGTTATATTTTCAATTCTACACACTCTGTTCCTTTTCCATAATATCCTATTCTTACCACACACTTCCTTTAAATACACACTTAAGGTCTCTTTCAGATCCATTTTAAGCATGGTTCCTGGGATATAAATTCCAACTCTTTTACCTGCCAAAACATTCTCATTGTGCCTATTTTACCTTGCATACTTTTAATGTTCAAACATGGCTCTCCTCAAGACAAAGTATCAAGTGCTCTAGGCAATAGAGGTGGTCTTAAAAGAGGGCCGATGGTTTGGCTTTCTTGGAGTCCCTACAGGTTTCACCAGTTCTAGACCAGTTTTGAAAATTAGTTTTTTAAACTTGGTTTTTACAATTGAGGCAAAGAGCTTAAATTTAACCCCCTCTACCCTTACCCATACATAACACAGACTTAGGGTTCTGACTTTTGTTAGGACTTTTTATTTACTCATAATGCTTATGATTAATCTGATTCTATGCTGCACCTCTAAAACAGAGAGTAGTTTGTTTTTAAGATGACTTCATTAACACGATAACTTCCAGGTTCCTTTCCTTATACTGAGAGCTCAGATGCAATTTCTTAAGTGACCTGCAGTCTCCACATTCCACCTGATTCAAGTACTTCAACCACAGCCATTTAGACATATATCTAGTTTGTACAGTCCAAGGACCTATAATTAAACTTTAGTAACCATTAACCACTTTGGTTTTCAGATACCTCTTCAAACATGGCACCTGGGGACTTCCCTTTTTTTACATTCAAAAGCTGCAATGCATCTGTTTGCTTCTAAAATTACAAGATTTAATCTAACATTTCTTTGAAATGTGTGTGTAGTTGGACAGTTTCCTATGTCAACTTAGGCTACCACAATGAAGAAAGACCCACGTCGTTCTACACTTTTATATTTAAAGGTTACATTTATCTATTTTCATTTTACAAATGATAAAATCAGAGAATTGAGTAATGGTCTAGGGTCATGGCATAGGTGACGCGTAAGTGGTGAAGCTGGTATTCTTACTTTTATCTTTCTAGTTGTATCTTTTTACAGTGAGGTAGAGATATGGGGCATTGGGTAAATTTTTGCCTTCCATAATATTACAAAACACATTAGTATGAAATATTACAGAGAACACTGAAATCTTGATTAAAAGATCCCTAAAAATATAACAGAGATTTTCATAACTTTAGTCTGGGTGCTTTCACGTTCTGGAAGCCCAATGACAGGCAATGAGGAAGAGCCTTGGAATAATGTATCCATACATTTTTCATGATGAATTTCTGATAAAAAGTTCTGACATTGAAATATTGAGTCTCAACACAGCCTTTGAAAAGAGGTAAGAATAAAAATACTTTATATTCTTATATGATTTACAGCTTCTAAAATATATTCATACTTTGTCTCTCTTTGAAACAGATGCATATTTAAGATGACCAGCATTAATTAATTTATTGACCTAATACNATATCCAGGGACAGAAATTATTTTACAGAGAAAGAAGAAATAAATCTGTAGAAACCATCTTTAATGCAACTATAGAAAAATTTATAATAAAACACAAAAGAGAAAGTATTTCTATTGATAAAACAGCTAGTAAAACATATTCTAAATTTCATTAACATGAAGATATCTATCTGAGAATATTTATTTTCAACTTACTGATTCAACTCATTTATTTATTTATTTTCAACTAATTTATTTTAAAAAATGCTTAATAAGCATCTACTATGTACAACGGACTATTCTAGGCACCAGGAATACAACAATTAAACAGACAGACAAAAATGTCAGCCTTATGGAACTTAGATTCAAGTGCTGACATATTAGATATCCTTTTAGATACCCTCTTAGGTACCAGGTATCCTCTTAGATACCCTCCTAGATATCATGTTACTCTATCTGTGAATGCTTTGCTGATTATTGTTATGGACTATTTCATTTTAAGAGGAAATAAAAACATATAAAAGCAAATTATCTTTCCATTTATACTTCCCTGTGTTTTAAAAAAAAGTACCAGTTAAAGGAAAAAAATTTACTTGACCATTTCCTGTAACAATGAACATAAAATTCTGACTGCTGATTTAGAACTTCTATCCTGGAAAAACAACTTGGTGACCAGATTTGAATTTTGTGCTGAGAACATCTGGAAAAAGCACAGCTGTAAGCATTCAATGCTTCAAAAACTTCAGTCCAGGAATAAAAGCCATGGAAATAATAAAATTGATCAAGGATATAGATGAATCACATAATACAGCACAGAAAGTGAGCAAGCCAACATGACCAAATAACAAGGAGTTGTTTTCAAACAGGTAGGAGCCAGGAGTCCCTGTAACACTCTTTGTGGATAGATGAAGATTCAAATACGGAAAGAAGATTCTTTCCTTAGAGTCCTTATGTAAAATGAACCAAAAGACTGCGCATATCCTGAATTTGTGTAGAAGCTTAAATGACAGCCTTATCATCCCATTAGAAGTCTTGATGATATCACAACAGGGACCGACTTTACTACTTCATTTACTAAAAATCCTTTTTCTACTGAGCTCTTCCACATAATCTCTATATAGGTCACCAAAGATTGACATTTAGGACAAATGTAAGTAGGTATAAGTATTGATAATAAATGCATTAAAGCATTTACTCTTCAGTGAACTTTAAACTTATTCTTATGAAATTCACATAATAGTCATTGATCATTAGCCACTTTGTGCTTAACCCTATGATAAAACCCTCTATAATGTTGAAGTGATGATAGACCACATGATAATTAGACCCTAAAATATTCATTAGATTAACATTGCTAATGGGAAATAAATAAGTGAATTTAGTGTGTAGGAGATAAAACAAGCCCCACATCCTTTTAATTTCACTCAAATGAAAAGAGAAAAAAAGTAGCCAAATTGAAGCAGGAACTTGATTACAGCAACCAAAAAGCTATACAAGAAACAGAATGAGGTATAGGAAGGAAATCCATTTTTTCATGTTTCAATTATTAAATTGTTTCAATATTCTTAATCATGTTATTGCCTATCTGTAAAGTGCCAAACCAAATTACACTTGTGAAATAAAAAAAGCCTTAACTAGACATATAAACAATGTTATATTATTTGGTTTCATATTCTGTCCTGAAATTTACACAAGAAAATAGCAATGAATAATGAAAGGTATAAAATATTTGTGAAATTTAAAACTTTGTTTGGTATCTTTAAAAACAAAATGACCATATATAGGACACTGTAAAACTTTCTGTTTGAAAGATTGTTCAGTACAGGAAGCCAAAATGTTAAAAACCCATCAAAGGATACATAAGTTTGCTATCACATTTCTGTCATAGTAAATTTCATTAGCTGAAAAATATGGTAGAAACTGGAGTTTTCATTAAAAAATATACTAACTTAAAACAAATATATCACTTTTTTTCCTAACTAGTTTTATAATATTTGAAACATCCTTTCATTCTTTCTTTCAAAGTGTATTAAGCATGCATTTCCTAAGCACTGGTCTAGATACTTATAACAAGTGGTTGACACATCAGGTATGTTCCTTGCTCTCATTGGATCTAGTCTGCTGAAACGATATTCATATTAATAATATTAAGAAAAACAGCCAGCATACTTTGTATGACAAAATTTCATAAATGTAAAGTTAACTTAAATTTCTGGTTAAATTAAAATTTAAGAGTTAACCAGAGTATTCTTTTTTTTCCAATCCTTAATCATTAAAAAAAATTCAAATGGCATATTATTTTTGTTCTTTGCCTTGGTGAGTAAAGTTTATTGACTAGATTAGAATTTAACCTTCTTTTTTGATAATTAAGGCTCTTAAAGCACCTTAAAGTCATCTGCCTAACCATTAACTTCTCACTACACAGAATAAGCCATTTATCAATTGGAGTATCTAAGTTACAAATGCACTGCTCCTTACACACAAGCAGCCACTTCACCTAAGTTCCTGGGCTGTGCTGTTGGCACTGTTCTATACCAGATGACTAGTACTAAGTCTAATGCCACGGTCTTCAGCTCTGTGTACCACTTTTACCCCAGACCAGAGCTATCACCTGGGTGCACATTCAGCAGCACACAGAGAAACCCTGACAAATTTTCCACCACTTCTGCACTACAAAACCAACCAACGACTGACTTCTCTTACACAGAAACTAATGGCTTAAATAGATACCACAGCAGGTGGTATTTAAAAACTCGAAACAACTCTAAGTATTAAAACTCAAGCAACAACCAGAATTTGCTGAGGCACTTCAAACATTAAACTTGAGATTTCTTTATTTTATAATAATACATATGTCAATGTTCCTTGCTCTCTGTCATAAAAGACTAATAATAAAAAAGAAACCTGAAAGTATAAATTCAGTTTGGCAATATTATAAAAAAGAATTTGTAACATTCAAGAAAGAAACAAAATTTTACAATGTATTATAATTTTAAAAGGTGATACAATAATTATGGTAACAAATTTCAGGGAAATACAGCAAAAGTTCATAGAAGATACAAATAGTATATAATATAAATTAACATGACAAAATTTATTTACCTAAAACATCATTCATGACAATATAACTCTAGAAATGAATGTTGCTTGACTATCAAAATATTTCTTTAAATCTTTCAATAAAATACTTTAGAAGAGTATTAAAACTTTGTTAAATGAATAAAACATAATTCTAGAAATTTTGTCTTTATACTTGCCATATTCTATAAATAATTTCAGGTCCATCAGCCTTTTTAAAAGATTATCATCAAAGATGTATTTCCTAAAATTATAGTCAAAATCCCACATATGGGTTTGAACCTTGCTTTACAACATTTTAAACTATGAGTTCTGTTTTGTTTTGTTACACATGTAGTACATGTTCATTGTAAAATAATTCAAACTAAATACATGAAATAAAAAGAAAACTACCAGCACCCCACTCCCCAACGGCAACGCAAACCCTTGATCCAGCTAACCCACCTTCCTGTGCCTCCCAATAGTTTTGTGGGGTCTCGAGAAAAGATACAAGTACTATTTATGTTTTCTATAAAGAGATCATTTAAAAACTCTGAACAACTCTAAGTATTAAAACTCAAGCAACAACCAGAATTTGCTGAGGCACATGCTTATTTCTCTATCCTTCTATTAATGTTAATTACAGAAAATTGCATTAATATTACAAATTTTTGTGTAAATTAACAGTAACAAATAAAAGCAATCATGTTAATTTTACCCAGGATCTATTGAAGAAATACTTTAATTTGAAGTATCACTGAGGACTGAAGAATAACACATTAATGAAATTTTACTTCTAAAATATTTGTATTAAATATTACCTGTCCCCGTCCATGCTGACTGGCCATCAGTAAGTGTAATAACAAAACCAGATCCTAGTGTTTTCTCCCAAGCAATTTGTAGGAAATGAATTATACCAGGTTCAGAAGCAAGACAGATTCTGCTTATTTTTCTCTCCATTCTGTTCACCTGTTAAAGAATAGTAAAATCAGTATTTTCACAAGAAACTATGAGTATCAAATAGTGTTGTTTTCTGCATTAACCAACTATACAAAGCACCAAGGTAGTAAATAGAACAAAAATCTTCTAATAGCCAACCACTCAACTCAGTAAACCACAGATCTGTTCAATACTGATTCACAATTTTTAGATATGAAAATCAGAGGCTCATAAATATCAAATGAAATCATACTTGCGTACCCAACTAAAAGTTACTATCTCCAACAATATGAAGAGTAAACTGTACCCAAGAGTCAAAAGCCTCTTTCTCTACAACAAAATAAATGGTCCTAAGAACTTGTGTGAGTGACCTGGGAGTAATCTCTGGACTGGAATGTAATTGATCAAATATCTTCATCTCTGTTCATGTGAAACAAAAAAGGAGAGTGTGCACAAATACTAGGAAAAGAAAATCTCAAAACCTGAGAGTTGGCAGTACCCAGCCATGCCTTCTTTCAGAAAGGGGTTTCCAGGCGGGACTCACCCTGTCCACTGAGATAGGAGCACCGTGTAATAGAGAAGGGTTATATCAAGGTATCACAGCCTGAGGCCAACAAACTTTTTTGCATTTTTAAAACTTTCTATTTAAGTATCATATATGGGGAAAAGTACATCTATCTAAAATACAACTTGGTGAGTTTTTACAATTGAACAAATTCATTTAAGCAGTACCTAGATCAAGAAGCAGAACATAACCACCCCAGAACTCATTCTCACAGTACCTCCCTTCCAGTCACTATGTCCCCAAATAACCATTCTCCTTACTTCTAACAGAGATTAGAGTTTTGAGTGTTTTTATACTTTTTATAGTTTGTATAATCAAACAGCATGTTTTATTTGTATCTGGCTTCCTTTCCTTAACATTATATATTCGAAAAATTCATCTGTATCATTTCTTAGATGGTTGTACAACATTCCATTTTATGAATATAGTACAATTTATTTAACCATTCTAGTAATGATAAGTATTTGAGTACTTTCCAGGTTTTGATTATCATAAATAGTGCTTCCATAACATTCTAGCAAATAATTAAGCTTTTCTGTTCGGTGTACACCTATGGGTGGAATTGCTAGATCAGAGGATATGCATATGTTCAGTTTTAGTACTATACAGCCAGAAGTTTTCTAGAAGGTTTGTACCAATTTAGATTTGGTGTATGAGAATCCTAATTACTCCACATTCTTGCAAACATTACTCATCTTTTTAGCTTTAGCCATTTTGGTGGTTATATAGCATTACATTGTGATTTTTAATTCACATTTCCCTGATACGTAATTTTAAGTTCTTTTCATTTATTTATTGAGCATCTGAATACCCTGTTTGTGAAGTGTCTGTTCAATCTTACCAATGTTTTTATTCAGTGTTTCTTCTTATTGATGTTTTCTTATTGATTTGTTATTTTCCTCTTGTTCTTTGTATTTTAGATATAAATCCTTCCATAGATACACATATACTGTGGTTATCTCCTTCCACTCTGTAGGCTACCTTTTCACTCTCACAATGGTATCTTCAGATGAAAAGAAGTTTACTGTAATGAAGTTAAAATTTATCAAAATTTTTATATTATGGCTATACTTTTTGTGTCCTGATTAACAACTCTGGTCACTAAGATGTTTGCCTATGTTTATCTAAAAGTTTTATAGTTTTATCTCTCACATTTAGGTCTGTACTCCATCTGGAATAGATTTTTTTGCATCGTGTTACAAAGGGGTCAATATACATTTTTTTCACAGGGATATCTAATTGACCCAGTACTATTTATTAAAGACTATTCTTTCTCAACTGTATTTTTATGTCACCTCATCATAAACTATGTGGCTAATACATGTACATGGTTCAATTTTTGTTTTTGTTTTGGGTTTTATTTTTTGCAGGGATGCATTTCGTATTTTATATTTGGCTTGTCAAGGTTATACTGAATAGTAATTTTGTCACTATGAGCCAACATATTTATAATCTCTCCCTGATCTTAAAATCTGATAAATTTCTCTTCTAAGTATTAAAATTATTTATGTAAAATGTTGAGCAGGACAAGCTCAAGCATAGATTTCTGTGGCTTACCATTAGAAACAAACTTCTTGCAGACATCAACCATCATAAGCATACTGCAAATATCTCCATTTAAGTCACAAAGATACCAGGACAGTCCTTTGCAAAACCTCCCTTTTCTATACCAGTCTAGCAATACTATTTTTAAAAAGGGAAATAAAATTAAGACTAAGACTTTTTCTTAGTGATCCCACTCTCATTTCTAACAACTAGGATTGTGTTTCTTTTTCTGTGAATTCAAAAACTATTCTTCTTATAATTCACTCTGGAATCTTGCCCAGATTGACCTCAAGCTTACCAGACTGTAGAGGACACATATTATTTGTTCAAAGCAAATAACTATTTTTCCTAACACTAGAATATCCTTTGACCATGTGTACTTCATTAAGAACTGCTAATGTATAGAAGCTAACAGACAAAATACCCTAAAAATTAAAAATATGCAAAGAAAAAACACTATGAAAAGTCAAAACCAAGGACAAGGCACAAACTTCAAAGATGAAAAACTAGAGAATGATTCTTTAATCAGTAAGAGATAGCATGCATCTCTTACTAGATGATCCCAAAAATACTAAAAGAATATTTTTTAATTTTTTAACTGGGGGAAGAGTGTAAAATTGCCTCAAATGTTCAAGACCAATATATATAATACATTATGTAACAAAAATGAAAAAGCAAATTATTAACTGGCATTTCATTAACTAATATTACTTATTAAAGTTTTAATAAGAGCAAAATTATAAGTCAGGAGTTAAAATTTGCTTTCTCAATTTAAAACCATTATGTTTTCATAAATAAAACATATTTTTCTCAATTAACAATTGAATACGTTAATAAAAACAAATCACTTTGTCAGCTCTTCACAAAACAAGGCTAACTTACTACAGATCTCTATCTTCTGATGATGGAAGGGATGCTTAGTTAGAGAATGCTTGATCTGTACTGTCTTACAGTTAAAACACAATAAAGAAATGAAATGAAAAAAGGAAAGAAAAAGTAGCTAAAATTAAGAGTGTAAGAAAATTCCTCCAAATTGATAAATTAGCAATAATTCTAAGTCCTACCTAAAGTTTACTCAGAAAACTGTTCTTTTCCCAATAAATGACAAAGTTATAAAACAACCATACTACCATACGCGAAGCCACATCAATTAAGCATGTTAACATTTGAAAAGTATGTAAATTTATAGGTTTGTGGCTATAGAGAAGGTTCCTATTGGCCAGGATTCTCACCTGGCCGTGGATGGCTGGCTCACTACACATGTGTGGGCAATACGTCATTAATGACTCTATATAAAAATCTCAGCCCAGTGCTCTGGGCAACATGGTGGAACGGCCTCAAGAGAGCAGAGACGACACTGGAGTGGTGGCAGCACCGAGGACAGAGACTGAGACAGTTGCACGGTAATATATGATTTCAAGCCCAGAGGCAGAGACTGGCTTGCTGCATGCAGACTCGCTCTGAGAGGACGGAATTCTTGTGATTGACTTGCCACTGTGGGAATAAAGTTGGGTATAACCTTTTCACCCCAAGAACGTTCTACTGTCATTTCTTTGGTCACATTGAAACCACAGTGAACTTGTCCGGGGCTGAACCCCAGTGGCAAGACAAGGTTTGACTACATAATTACTGAAAAAATATAATCATTTTTAAGTATTTCACTTAGTCAACATTTTTTCCTACATTGTGGCATTCTTTGCCTAATGTGCTGAATTCTGAAATGCTTTATCCATTTGTGAATATTTTCTTTTATATCAGTTAGGCAATACACTTAATATGCAGTAAATTGCCACATGCTCTGTAAATCCTTAAATCTGAAAATTACTGGAAAATGTGTTACTGTTTCTCTATGCCAATCATTGAAAAAGACACATAAAAGCTTACATCTAATGGGCACAAAAACCGTAATTTTGTGGGGAGGCGGACAACAAAAAAGTTATGAAGGCCATTTTTTGCCTCTCTAGAATTTATATACAAATACAGAAATACACACACACACACACACACAGGTTATTTCCTCTCAGTGTGTCTCAGAAACCGTGGGTATTGTTAGCAATTAATTTAACTCTCTGAAAGGAAAATGCAGTACTTACGATTACTCTAAAAGAACAGTTGTTTCACTGCTGCTTTTTACCACATTTGAAACAAGTGACAAATTTCTAATTACAGTGACAAATTAGTTGAAAATTCAATATTCCAGATATCTGTCATTAACTCATCCTTTCACAATTATATAAAGGCCTTTAATCCCAATAATGTTGAAAAGACACTTATAGATCAGACTCATTTTAACACCACCTTTGAATGACTCATATTGCAAATATTTTCCAATTTTCTGATTAACTCAGTATTCATTATGAAAGTTAAATTATCTTATTTTGAAGATTCAGTTATTTTAGTAAACTCATACTTGAAACTTTGGTTGCTACTGTGTCCTGTACACCTCAGTATCCTGGTAAATACTATGTGCCTCAAAAATGCATTCTTCATATCAAATCAGTTTCAATTTACTGATAATATATGATTTGAATCAGCTTTGAAAGTACTTCATTCTTTTACTTACTGAGGTCTTCTCATTAAATATCAAATACAAAATATCTGAGATCAACCAAAGAAATAGAGAAAAGGATGACTTGCTATGTCTTTTAAGATTCAGAAGGGCAAATCAACAACCTCTTTGCTTTCACCAGCCCTGTAAATGGGAATAGTTAGCCATAAATTTTTTGCCCCAAGATGACCTGAAGAAGGAGGTGGAATCCTTCTCAGAGGGACTAATTGATTAGGGTCATAAGAAAGCCTGTGTTTTATTTTCTGTGGGCACTAAAGGTCACACTAGTATCAGCACCTCTCCCCACAAGAACCAAGGAGCTAAGACAAGCCTGCAGGTGGAAACAGTTGGGTCCCACCCCAGTTTGTACAT